TGAACGATTGATCCCCAGTCAAACACACACACACTGATAGCGAGAGACTGAAACGAGGATCGATGGAAAAACACTCCAGTTCTGTGTGAATCGATAACTAATTGTATATGGCATAACTCGTGAGTGATTGAGTAAATAAAAGGGGCGAACCCTAGTTACATGGTACATGTTTTTGTCTTCCGCCCTCCCCCTCCTGTTTCTTACTTTACACGAAATGAAACGTACTCAGCTCACCGCTTTTATGTTGTTCAAGGTTGATTTTCTAATAATAATAATAATAATAATAATAATAATAATAATAATATTAATAATAATAATAATAATCCCTTTTATTCTTTCACTGAATGCATTTCACTGTGCTTCACACACATCTGAATTCAGACTGTGTGCCTAACAAATCATAGTACAATAATTTTTATAAAAAGAAAAACCTACCATGATTAGCTCGTGGGCGCGATACTGCCAGGTTGCCCAGGCCAGTGTAGGTGAATCTTCTTGGGGAATTCAAGACCGGAGCCTTCGGCTAGTCAAAGCCTGACCCGCAGGACAGTGGGACGCTGTGTGCGAAAACCGCAATCCATTCGGATCGCTTGACTTTCGAAAAGGTCAAACGTCCAAGGTATCCAATACACCTCGATGCCCAATCGAACCGGTGTTCACTGCCACAACCGGGAAGGTGTGTATGTGTATGTGTATGTGTGTGTGTGTATGGTTCATACACCTCTTCTTGGTGGGTTTGAAATCAGGGGCAATAACCAACTCCAACTCCCCGTTCTCCCCTCCCGGTGATTATGTAAGTAAGTGGCCCAAAGATCAATGGAATGCAGCAAAGAAGATTGTTGTCGATGAAGTGTTGCTTCGGTCTTTAAACCGACCGAATATTTGTTCTCGGATTTTAAAAAGAACCCATGTATCGTTTGTTCTCCAGTCCAGACGAGTACCATGTTTGTTGTTGCTCTAAAATCCACCCACGCGCCACGCCAAATATCACGAGTCATGATTACTCAGGACCGATAGTGGTCAATCAGTGAGTGCATTCTCGTGTAAAGTATACTCGATTGAAGGGTACGGATCCTTCAAAAATTGAATCAGTTTTGCTATAAAAAGAACGAAAGAAAATTGTGCTTGAGTCACTGACCAATAGCATTTCGTCGGGGTTTGTGTATGACGACTGCTCGTCTATTGGAAACTTCGGTCCCATTGATCGATCCCGACCGGCCAACCATTTTTGATATTTATATGTTGGTTAGCCTATGCCAGTCAAATTCCTTCCTCTGAACTATTTAGAGAACAACACACATACGCAGACCGAGATTTTTGACTACTACCGATTTATCCATGGTTGTGTGTTTGAGAGAGAGAGGGAGAAAGCGTGCGCTTAAGGACACCTGCAATTGTTTTTTTGCGCAGTGATGCAGTGAAATTCTGCACTCCCCAACGTGAATTCAGCTTACACGAGAGTCTGCGGTCCTACCTTGGTCTGCCTTGGTCTTCACATGATTTGGTCTGTTTCCCAGATGCAGTTTTTTTACAGGTGCTGAATAATGTCACAAGAGGCAAAATGATTATTTGGCTTCTCCTTTGGATTTGTGCAGATCGACTGTTCCATAGGGCTGACTTAGATTATTAGCTCGGTATAGTCAGCGGAGGAATCAACTGGATGTGGACAAGTGTCTCGATGAATTTGGTTTTTGTTACAGCTTTCACGGCAACTTTTGCTTGCACGAAGTATGCTCACAAAACTATCACATGCTTAACAACGGCAAACTTTATCTAATCGTGTTGCTGTACAAGCCTTTGCGTAGTCATTATTTTCTAAATGCCACTCCCGGAATTCGTAACCTTTGCTCTGTTGTCGTGACTTTACGGGTAACTTTTAAAAAGAGATCAAAGAGTGCAACAAGACGAGCGTTGCCCGTATCTCGAGGAAAGATGGACGGACGTGGTGGGTATTGAACCCTACGATCTTTCGGTCGGTTCGGGAGTGATGTTAGCGGCTAAACCACCTTCATCTCCAAAAAATAATCAGTTTTGTATACGCAGTGGTAGATAAACGGAAGAGTGTATTTGAAATACTGTGTACACTAAGCACAAATGGTCTTCATGAACCTGCACTAAACACAAGTGATTGTCTCAAGCCCGTGGACGACAAGTTTTACCATTTATGTATTGTTTTACCTTATTGTAGCTCAATCCGTTTAGTCAGTCAATTCTGTGAGTCTGTGCGTTTTCAGTTTGATACCTTGTTGGAATGAAGGAATTTCCTGCGTTTGACATCGTTGCTCGAAGTATGATTACAACACAGCGATTTCGCATTCCGCGAAATACCTAATCACAGTGTATGCGAGATTTAACATATTCAAATGATAAATACTCCGTAATCAATGTGAACCCTATTTATTCATGCAATATGCATTAATCTTCTCCTTAAGTTGAACGCGATTCATCGAACCAGCGAGGAAATGTGATGTACGAGGTATCCACACACGTAGGAAGCTGTTCATCAGTGTGGATCTGCGATAGCCAAGGCGGCGACCACTCAATACATCACTACGTCCCCCCCCCCCCCCCNAATGCGATTTGTTTAGTCACTTCGCTTTTTCTTGAGTCGATTTGACACGATTAACCAAAATGATATTGATCTTTTTTGCATAACCCAGTTACACGGACCGGAAATGGAGTAATTCACTCAGTTTCATCGAGCTTGAACATTTTACAGAACAAACGACAACTACAAAGCTCCTAACGGGCCGGTGGATCTGATGAGTCCTATTGAGAGTGCAACCTAAGTCCAATAATTCCCGAGTTTATGACTGATTGTTTGGAGAAATTAAGCATTGTACCTAATAGGGAAAGAATATATGACTGATCACTCAAAATCAGTCAACTCAAAAAAAGAAGAAACTCGGACTGTTCGTTTCAAAACCACGCGTGGAAACACTAAAATCGCCTATTTATTCTCAACATGTCAAAGTTTAATTTGTTTGCTATTTTTTTCAAAAATACGATATATCGAGGGCTGCATAGCGATTGATGGATGGATAAATTGATGTGTGCATATATATACAACAAGACTTATAAACCCATGTATTTTTTCGATTGGAGAAATAGCGTTTGTGCATCGTGTGTTTGTCACCTAAAAAATTTCTTATAAAATATCCTGTAGTAAGTGAATTATTGAGGACGTCATGGTCTGTCTGGTCTCTATGTGATATGCTGCCGTCAGTTGATGTCTAACCATTCGCATCGAGATGATGACGTTGTCTCGTGACTGTCCGGTCAAGGTCACGTGACAGGATACATACAAATAGCATATATATAAGTAGTATAAATAAATGAATTTACCCCGTCGGTTATTAGCCAGTTCATGTACAGCCCTCGAATAGAGGTTGTTGTCTGTCGGGATGCGTTATCTCGGTTTTTCAGTGAATCACATGTCACATGGTGGAATGGAAGTATCATAAATACGGAATTATTTCGTTTACATAAATCGTGCAGTTCGTTTTTTGTACATTATCTACGTGGTGTATTGGTGTCGGTATGGCCACTCCTACCCCAGGGCTAGATCGATTTTTGTTTTCCACCATATCGGACTCGTGAGTTCCTAATTCATCACCTGTTGGCACGTTTGACATGTCTATGACTCCGTGACTTGGTTGTTCTCGTAGCAGTAGCAGTAGTAGTAGTAGTAGTAGTAGTAGTAGTAGTAGTAGTAGTAGTAGTAGTAGTAG